AGCAGTACCCTAACAAACGGGCCACGGACCGCGCGCGATCTTTCCTTCCTCTTCCTTGACCTATCCTCACCTTACTTTCACACATTTACACTACCCTACCACACTTACACACATGCACTACACTGCCACATATTCCGAGAGATCAATCGGGTACTTAGAGATTGTCCTGGCTTGGGCCTGAGGAAAAGTTTACACGTCGACGAGTAGGTCGGCTCGGAACTTTCTCCCCAGCAGCAGAAGAACATTGTCCCCTGCTGCGGGAAAAACATGCAATACACTCACGGGACAAATCATCATAGCATTTCATGCGCACGGAATCATGAATGAGTCGATCAACCAAAATAGTAAATTATGCAGTTTATAATGTTCTTTATAATATAATGTTTATTAGTAGTTTATAATGTTCACCTTTTTTGCAAGGAGAAGCAAATATGACTGTGTGAACGAGTCAGGAGCGAGTTTCGTAATTCTTGAGTGCAGTAAGTAACATTATACAAGAGTTAATTTAATTAGAATTATTAAGAGTTATTAACATTATAGAAGTATTAATAATAATATTAATAATAATAATAATAATAATAATAATAATAATAATAATAATAATAATAATAAAGAAGTGGGAGAACAAAGGGAAAGAACGCAAGAAGAAAGAGAAAGTGTAGGAGGGGAAAGAGGAAAAAGTGAATGATGAAAAATAGTAAAAACGAACGAGAGAAGGGGAAGAATGCGAGGAAAAAAGGAGAAGAAGAAGAAGAAATAGGAGTATGGAGAGGTCTCAAATAAGTACAGAACGAAATAGGACAAGATGAAAATCCATGGAGGATGAAGAGATCGGGATGAAGAAATGAAAAGGGAACAGGGAGATCAGTAAAAATCAGGAGAATGGATACAAGGAAGCAAAAGAGGAGGAGATGGGCAGAATAAAGAGAAATATATGTAGGGTTAGGAAAAGAAAACAAGCAGGATGAAGAGCATGTAGTAAAGGAAGAGAAAGAGAATGAGAATAAGGAGAGGCAGAAAACATTTAAGTAGGAAGCGATGAATGAGGAGAAGGAAGGACAGAAGAAGACAAGGGAAAGAAGGAGGATGAAGATGAGAATGGGAAGATGGATACGAAAGAGAAGGGATATTAAGTAATATGCTGCTAATTGAGAGAATGAAGAGACAGGTAAGGACAAGAAGAAGAAGAAGAAGAAGAAGAAGAAGAAGAAGAAGAAGTAATAAAACAATGCGAAGGGGAATTAAAAGGAAAAAATAATGGAGGGATGGAGACATTTCAAGAGCGTCTGTGGGCTCAGTGACGGAGCAATCGGCACTCACCGCAGGTGCGGGCGGCCTCTCAGATGCAGTGGAGAGGCCCTGCTGTCTCTGCCGTCCCTGCAGTCCCTGCCGGAGTCCCTGCAGTCCCTGGGCGCCGCGAGTAGCGCGCGGTTCATCGTCCGCCGGCTCCGCCGCGCGCCTGCTCACACACACACACACCAACCACCAATTAAATTCAATCCAATCCAGTCAATTCAATTCAATCCAGTCAATTCCATTTAATTCAGACAATTCAATTCAGCTAATTCAGTTCAGACACTTCCATTCAATCCAGAAAACTCAATTCAATCCAGTCGATTCAATTCAATCCAGTCGATTCAATTCAATCCAGTCGATTCAAATTAATTGGCTCAATTCAATTTAATTCAACCAATTAAATTTAATGTGGTAAATTCAATACAGTAAATTCAATCCACTAAAATTCAATTCAATGATGCCTTATTTTACTTGGCAAGGCTCAGGCCATCAGACTTCCTCTTCCGCCTGGCCACTCAATCTCTGCTATGCACCTCTCGCCATCTAGCAGACAAAAATGAAAACACTCGCTCGACGAAACAGGCGATTTGAATATTGCTCCGAGGCTTCTTTTAGGCTTGAGGAACTTTAACATGCAGTAAATCTACAACATGGGACAGCCGGCTTTACCTCCTCTCTGAAGGAAGGCGTATGAAGAATTTTTTTTTCAATATTCAAAGTCCACGTTTTTGATCGAGTTTAAAACTGCCAACTTAGTTGTAACCGTCGGATACGCTAACCGTTGCACAATTGAAGCAACACTAACATTACACCGATTGATACTTTCGCCTACGTAATATCAAGATACCTAAACCGGCGCTCCTGATTTGCGAGAACTGGGGTCAGTCTGTTCGGTAAGGCCAGATATAGTAGCCCACGTGCCATTTGCATTCATTAGGCTAGAGTCTATTTCTCTTGAAGTTTCTCAGAGTACGCCTGTTTCCCCGACCAACAGACTTCTGTTGATTCTCAGTCTTCTTTCCCATCGTCAGCTTTGGTTCTAAATTTTGGGATTTTGAGAGGATTTTAGTGACATTAACTTTTACGCATATTACGTAGGCTACTTACGAAGTAAAGATAAAATGTAATTCTGCAGTTAAAGGTGGCAATTTTTCGATAGAATATTGTAATACTGGAGTCCTCTATCTGTGAGGTCAGATTATGGGGAACTGTTACGAAAAATGGATAATTCTTGCTGCCACTTATTTGTAGTAAATTACTTCCTCCAATACTTTGCGTACTCGGAATTCACGCCTTGTGGGTCTACACGTCGGCTGGCGGGATTTTCCCCAGCCAAGTATCTCGCACCAGCCGTACACCGCCCCAGCAGATGCTCCATTGGTGAACGATTCAAGCTCTAAGCTCCCGACTGGTCTCCCGGCATGAGAGGTAGTGCATCACCTGTTAGTGTAAGTGTGTTTAAAATGTGTGAGGATATTTAAGGAAGAGGACGGTAGGCCGCGCGCGGTTCGTGACCTAATTTGCTAGATACTATTCCATACTAGACCATTCGCTCGGTGTTTATCGGGACAAACACGTAATAGTAGAGATCAGAACTGCAATCCTCGAATATTCTTATCCAGATCGCGGCTGAATTCGACCTAGCTATGAGGCTCGTAACGACGTATTGCAATGACATCAGATGATGACCTGTTCCAACTCAGCCGGTCATAACCCTCGCACTCTCGCAGTGGAAAGTGGAGTGTGCTAGGAAGGTGAGTGGGCCAGCACGTCGAATGTACCGGCAAGGCAACTGTGCTGGCAAGGCGAGTGTGTCGTCAAGGCGAGTGTGCCGGCAAAGCGACTGTGCTGGCAAGGCGACAGTGTATGAAGGCGAGTGTGTTGTCAATGTGAGAGAGCCGGCAAGGCGACTGTGCTGGCAAGGCGAGTGTGTCAAGGCGAATGTGCCGGCAAGGCGACTGAGCTGGCAAGGCGACTGAGCTGGCAAGGCGAGTGTGTAGTCAAGGCGAGTGTGCTGGCAAGGCGACTGTGTTGGCAAGGCGAGTGAGCCGGTAAGGCGACTGTGATAACAAGATGAGTGTCGGAAAGACAAGTGAACCTTCAAGACGACTGTGTTGGCAAGGCGACTGTGCCGGCAAGACGTGTGTGGCGGCGAGTGGGCTTGCGGATGTGGTGGCGGGTGCGCACGCCCCCGGCGCCGCGTGGCTACGAGGGGGGCGCGAGCGCAGGTCCCAGGGGCGGGCGCCCCCTTCCCAGGGCTGCTTAGACTAAGTGGGGCGCACGTGCAGCCGAGGACACGTGTCCTGCCCCGCGGGGCCCATTCCTCCCTCGCCGCCTCCTGCGCGGGTGCGAAGGATCGCGGACGGACAGGGGCGTCCTCCTTCTTCCTCTATCGTTTGATGCGGTTTCGAGTAGTGTGGTATGTTCGTTGATACGGTACACCTGGTATGTATGTTGCAGACGTGTTCAAATTAATAGACTAAAGCTTGTCTTTCCTAAGTTCCGTGATATTTTTAGATTTAGATTTATTAATAATTCTGCAATTAAGTGCGAGAACGTGGTGGCAGAATACACTAACTTAACATTACAGAACTTAAGAACTATACAAACTCTACAAACGTTACCAAATCACATGAACATTTCCCCGTGCAATCTTTCATAGAACTCCACTTCACCAAACTTCACTTCACACCCTTCCACCCGGCCTGCGATAAACAGCGAGCTGTAATGTCTTTCTTACTCACGTC